CCCACATGGGAGACCGAGAAGAAGCTCCTGGCTTAGGATCTGCACAACTCCAGCCATTGCGGCCAATTAAGGAGTGAACCACCGGATAGAAGACCCCTCTCTTTCTCTCTGCCTCTCCTCTTTCTGTGTAACTCTTTCAAATAAATAAATAAATCTTTTTAAAAAATGAGAGAAAAAAGAAATTCAGCCAAGAGCTAGAAATAAAAGCGAATCAACCAGAGCACAACTTTGTGGTGCCAAGGGTTAAGCCACTGCCTGGGACGCTGGCATCCAACAGGGGTGCTGGGTTGTGTCCCAGGGTTCTGTGGCCTGAGCTGTTCCACTCGCACTCCAGTTCCCTGCTAACACACCTGGGACAGCAGGAGAAGATGGCCCGAGTGCTTGGGCCCCTGCACCCACCTGGGAGACCCAGATGAAGCTCCTGGCTCCTGGCTTTGGTTGGCCCAGCCCCAGCCATTGCGGCCATCTGGGGAGTGAACCAGAGGATGGATGACCTCTGTCTTTTTCCACCTCTCTCCCTCCCTCCGTCTGTCCAGCTCTGCCTTCCAAATGAACAAATAAATCTTGAAAAGAGGAACCAGCCAGAAATATTGGAGCTAAAGAATTCGATAAACAAATTAAAATATAGTAGCCAGCGCCGCGGCTCACTAGGCTAATCCTCTGCCTTCCGGCGCCGGCACACCGAGTTCTAGTCCCGGTCGGGGCACCGGATTCTGTCCCGGTTGCCCCTCTTCCAGGCCAGCTCTCTGCTGTGGCCAGGGAGTGCAGTGGAGGATGGCCCAAGTACTTGGGCCCTGCACCCCATGGGAGACCAGGAGAAGCACCTGGCTCCTGGCTTTGGATCAGCGTGGTGCGCCGGCCGCAGCGGCCATTGGAGGGTGAACCAACGGCAAAGGAAGACCTTTCTCTCTCTCTCTCTCTCTCACTGTCCACTCTGCCTGTCAAAAAAAAAAAAATTTAAATATAGCTGAGAGCCTCAATAGAACAAATCAGGCAGAAGAGAGAATTTCTGAGTTTGAAAACAAGTCTTTTGCAATAACTGGTGAGACAAAAAAGAAAGCAAGAAAAAAGAATGCCCCTTTAAGACTTAATGACCACCATTAAAAGCTTCACATTATAGGTATTCCAGAAGGAGAAAAGAAAAAAAAAAATCCATAGAAAACCTATTTAACAAAACAATTGCTAGAAACTTTGCAATAAACACAACCAGGTTCCAGAAGCCCAAAGACCCCATAAAAAAGGTGCAGCAAGCAAAGATCCTGTCTGAGGCATGCTGCATGCAAACTGTCACAAGTCGAGATAGACAATGCAGTTGATCTCGGAACTCGGCTTAGACGCTGCCTCCTACATGAAGCCTCCAAGGTTGATTCTCTCTTGGCTAGATCAGGAGCCTCTGCCGGGTCCCCAGGACCCCGTGGGCAGCACCATGCCACTGGCGGTGATTCTGGGTCTGCGTCTCCCATGACTCAACTATCTGGAGAAGCCACACAAGAGACACAGGAGGAGTGACTATTTGGAGAAACAGGCGTGCTCTGTGTGGTCTCAGAACCATGGAGGAGGAGGAGGTTCGTGCCATTTAAAGCTCGCCAAGAGGCCTGGCTGCCTGTAATGGTAATGAGTGAGCTGCCCATCAGAGGAGGTGTGCAAGCGCCCAGGGAGCCCTGGCCAAGGCTGGTCCTCCCTTTAGGCTTCTATCCAGGGTCCAGTGGCCTGAGCTATCCCACGTCCCTCTAATGTCGCATTCTGGCCCAGAGGTAGAGCAGGCTGCTCTTCCCACTGCTGCGGGGTGCCGGTGCTACGAGCCCTGGCCAGCCTCAGGGCCCCACACGCTCCGTGAAGGGTTCCTGGCACACGAGCCCCTCGGGCCGTGTCCCTGGGACTCCGCTGATGCTACAGCTGCCCGGAGAGCAGGCACCTCACAGAGACTGGGGGGGGGGGGGGGGTCAAGCTCCATCTGTGCAGTCCCAGGTGCTCACACCTTGCTCAGAGCAAAAGCCCCAAGCCCCCTGTGTGACCCGCAGAGAGCCCCCGCTGCGCAGGGACCACGAAGCCGCCAGGCCCAGTGGCCGGAGCCCCTCCGGCACGGGCTCCTCGGGGAGACGGGGAACACCCTGAGCAGGCTCCCCTCCAGGATCAGCTAGCTAGGCTCCCGGTGCGAGGTGGGTGGGGTCCCAGAAGCCACACCACATGCGCACCCCCCACCCCACCCTGGGTGCACTAAGGTGGGGCACGACTTTTCCCACCTGGCCCCTTCCCAATGCCTGTCCAGATGTTGGAAACGCGTCAGGCTCCGCCTCATGCGGGTGTTCGCCTCTTTGCGGAAGGCCGAACTTCCCTTCAAAGGGTGAATGCCCCCTAGATGGGGCGCGTGAAAGGTGAGACATGAAACGGGAGGCCCATGGGGGAATC